GCCAACCACTCCCTGGCCGTCGGTCGCCATCGCCTGATTCTCGGCATGTAGCGCCGCGATCTGCGCCTGTAGTGCATCGAGCCGCTGATCCTGACCTTCGATACCATGCAGCTGGTTCTGCATGCCCTGCATTTCGGCCTAGGACATGGCGTGCCATTCCTGCTGGCCCATGTTCTTGATGACCACGTCATCGGTCGAGTCCTTGATCTCGCCCTTCTACGTGACCTTGGCGGCCTCGTCGGCCGTATCATGGGCAACGAGGTAGGATGAGCCGGCCTCGAGGACCGCGAGACCAGCAGCGGTCATCAGCATCATCTCCTTCTTCATGACCGCGCCATTGGTTCGTACTCTCTTCAAGATTGGCGGAGCGGCGCACTCGACGATGCAGCCCGACGACTTGGCCAGCTTCTTGCGCGTCATGCCCTTCTTGCCGAGCGCGTAGGAGAGCTCGTCGGGCTTGAGCACGAGCGTCTTGGTGCCCCACTCGTCCTGGTCGTCGTCCTCGTCCGGCTTGCTGTCGCCGGTGAAGTAGTTTGGCACCTTGGTCTCGACGGCCGCCATCACCTTGAGCTGCGCGCCGCGCCGGCCGCGCCGCGGGCCGAAGATGGCGAGCTTCTCGGTCTGGCCCTGATCAGGCGCGGGAAGGAGGAGCGCACGGGGCGACGTCGAGCGGAGCGCGGAGGGCGAGGTGGATCCCGCCGGCGAGGAGGAGATGGGGCGATCGAGGAGACGGACGAGAACAGACTAGCCCTTCACGGGGGTTGACATCTCGCGGTGGACGAGTCAGCGGCGGCTCTCTGGTGGAGGATGGCGGAGGAGGAGCCGGCGGAGGAGCGTGGTGGAGGAGGTTGCGCAAGGGCGGACAGCTCCCGCCGGCTCGGGGACGGCGCGGGCGCGGAGCGGCTCGTCGCGTGTGTCCAGCTCGTGTGTCGCGAGGTGCAGGCCGAGGTACAGAGGTACAGGGCAGAGAGCAGCAGGGCCGAGAGCAGCAGGGCCGAGGCCGCGCGGGAGGGACTTGAGCCGGGGAGCAGGGGGGTGTTCTCCAGATACAACGTCAGACGCCCGTCACGATGCGTTGTACGGTGAGGAGGGAGAGGCGGGCGGCACCTCGCGGCCAGACCCGCGCCCGCGAAAGTCGGCGAAGAACATGAGCGTGCCCCACTCCTCCTCGACCTGGCGCAGAAAGTTGCCCTGCGAGCCAGTCACAAAGCCAACCGCCTCGGTCGGCACCTGGATGACGGTAAGGTCGTCGTCCTCGCTGTCGTCGTCGATGGTGACGGGGCCGACGCGCTGCGCCATGACGCACTCGACGTACCTGCCGGAGGGGGAGGGTCTTCTTGCGAGGTGCGGGAGAAAGGGGAGGGGGGGGTGGGGGGGGGGCGTGCGCGCACTTCTTGGCGCGGCGCCGCTCGGCCTCGGAGCCGCGAATCTCCAGCGTCAGCGACTGCTCGAAGAGGTCCAGCTCCGCGCCGGACACGCGCGCAATCTTCTCCTTGGTCCTCCCGCTCTTGCCGAGGATGAAGGCGGCGTCATCGTTGGAGATCTTGAGCACGTCCACTTCCTGCGGCATGGTGTCCTGCGCGGGGACGGGGGGAGGGGATTTTGTCGGTGGGGGCCGATGATATCCTCTCGGGTACGATGGCAGCGGGCGGCGTCGCGTCGGCTCCGGCTGCGGGCGGCGACGCCCTCGTGGGGTTGGGTGGGGGCGGGCGCGCGCAGCACTGGGTGGCATTTGGGCCCCTGGCTCTGTTAGTGGCACCTCCCTTGTGGTGTTGTGGGGAGCGCGCCGCGCGTGCCTGGCTTCTCCACGGCGTGCTGACGCCACGAGTTTTTCTTTTTCTTCTAAGTTGGTTACGTTACGAAAGGTAGTCTATGGTGGTAAAGAAAATTCGCGAGTTAAGTTTTCTCTCTCGTCCCGGCGGGTGGTAGCAAATGTGTGCTCTCATCTTCCCTTTGGCTGTCTCTTTTCTTTTCTTCCACCGGGCTTCGTTTCGCGTTTCGTTCGTGAAGCGTTGCGTGCGGCGATTGAGCGCCTCCCTCTCCCATGACCGGTGCGGCCTCCGAGTCGGCGTCTAGCGCGCGCGATAAGGTTTTTGCTCGCCTTCCCTGGCGCCTGGGACGTGTTGCGACTTGCGTCACTCTCTCTCCCCCTCTCCCTCTCTCTCTCTCTCTCTCTCTCTCTCTCTCTCTCTCTCTCTCTCTCTCTCTCTCTCTCTCTCTCTCTCTCTCTCCTCTCTTCTCTCTCTCCTCTCTTCTCTCTCTCGTCACCATGCGACACAAGGAAACTCCATCGACCGCAAATCGCAATCAATCAAATTGGCGCAAGGTCCTCGCACCTCGGTGATCTCAGGCCCAGTTGCATCAGACCTGTCCGCTGTCCCGGATCCTGCTGAACAAAGCTCCTCTTGTAACCGTAGGGTGCCGAACTTAAGGTAAGGTAGCTTGAGTTAGGGAGCTCTTTTCCTCTTGCCGAACTCCTGTTCTAATGTACCTAACTCCTGCTACCCACCTCTCGGTCCAGCCGGACCGGCACACGGGCCACGCGGCCCGCACCACTCTGAGGCATCTCCCTCCTACGCTACGAGCACCTACGCTCGAGTACGAGTGCCTACGCTACTAGATGCCCTACTCCTCCTCCTCCTCCTCCTCCCCCTCCTCCTCCTCCTCACTCGCCGCACCCTCGTCGTACCAGCGAGGGCGGAGGGGCCCGTCGCCGGTACCAAAAAAGAAATCCCCGGTACCTAACTGCTGCTATACCCCGTACCTAACTCAGTGCAAAGCACCTAACCTAACTCAAGCTAGATATCTTCCAATCGTTTTATTACAAATAGAACCTTACCTTATAAGTTCGGCACCCTACAGTAGCTCGATCGGTCACACCGCCATCGCCGCCGACGTCTCACTGTGAGGATGATGGAGAGGGGGGACGACACTGCTTCTGCAGCGTGCACCTCGCTCCTGTACCGTGATCCGTGTTTGTTATGACCCCCCCCAATGAACACACCAGTGAGGGAGGGCGAAACGATCGAGGGGTCCCGTACCATGCGGAATCGACCCTATCCAGTGCTCAAGTGCTCAGCAAGGACCAAGGTCCAAGCAAGGAACCGGACGGCCGAGCGAGATTGTGCGGCTTCATGTTCGATATTCCACAAACAACCCCAAAACATAACCGATTCATTTCCGTCCCTTTCCGCCGCCCGATAGCATTCTCTAAGTGTTCGCAAATCGGCGCCCAATGTCAGTATCAGGCAAAACTTGCCAGACTTGTTTAGGTAATGCCGCGCCACGACGACGCCCACCCATCCATCTAATCACCAACTCTGACACGACCACCCCTCGCCTTCTCTGTGCGCGAGCCCGCCCTAACCCCAACACCACGCAGCCATCCCCCCGCGTGCAGCGGCCATGCCAGCCCGTGATCCCGCGCCGCGTCCACCTCCGCTCCAGGTCGAACATGGCCCGCCTCGTTCAGATTGCCCTCAGCGCAGCATTCCTCGAGCAGTCACTGGCGCAGCGCTCTAGGATTCCAGCACCTATTGGCATTCCCGATCCGAACGGCAACACGTACGTCTTTAGCGGACAGACCCTGAGCACAGCCTGCGATCCGACCGATTTCCTCTCCATGGCGGGCGGCCTCTCCACGGACAACTGCGCCAACTGGATCGAGCGCACGGAGATGAACCCCCCGCTCTCACCGCCGTGCCCCCCGGGGACGGATCCGCTCGGAACCAAGGCCGAGTTCTGCTCCGGGGCGGTGGTCGACACCACCTACACCATCATCGGCGGCATCGCTGGTCCCGACATCTGCTGCACCAAGCTGCCGCCATCGCCGCCCGCCGGCATCAACAAGGACCCGCACCTCTTCTACCCGCACGGCGGACGCGCGGACTTCCGAGGCAAGGACGGGCAGCTGTACAGCTTTTTCTCGTCTCCCGACCTCGCGGTCAACGTCAGAACGGAGGACGCCGAGTTCATGCTGCACGGCGGCAAGCTGACGGTCGAGGGCTCCTTCATCACCGAGATGCACCTGGTGGCGCGCGTCGGCACCTGCCCGCCTGGGTACCCCGTCGAGCGGTGCATCGGCGCCAAGCACAAGTTTGCCAACGTCTCCTTCTGGGGCTCCGAGCTCACCGCCCAGAACTGGGGCTGGGCAATGATCAACGGCACCTGCGGCGGCCACCCCTTCCGCCTGAGCAAGCACGGCACCAAGAGCTGCGAGGACCTGTCCGTCAGCGTCAAGTCGTCGAGCGCGACGTTCGAGGTGGGCAACTGGACCTTCACGGTGCACGCCAACCACGTCTACGACCGCATCTCCGGCCCGGAGCACCGGCTCGACCTCTCCGTCAAGCCGAACGGCGACGCCCCCGCGCGCTCCTTGCCGCACGGCATCCTCGGCCAGGGGTACTCGTCCACCATAGCGCGCGACGGCAACCGCGACGCCTACCCGCAGCAGGGCCACTTCCGCACGAGCGCGATGGCCGAGGGCGCCATCGAGGGCAGTGCCGCGATGTACGAGGTCGCCCTGCCGTTCGAGACGCGCTTTGCCTTTTCCCGCTTCGACGCGCCCCTCGAGACGTCGGTGAACCCCTTGCTGCTGACGACGAGCGAGGCAACCGCGATCGACGTCGCCGGCGAGGCCGAGGACGACGCGGCGGCGTGAGGTGAGCCCGACTGTCGCACGAGTGAAGCGCCGGGCGACCACGAGTGGCAAGAGGGGCGATCGCCGCAAAAGGGGGAGAATGTGTCGCGAGGGGGCTCCTGCTGCCTGCGGGGCCCCGACGCCACTGCCAGAGGCTCAAAGAAAGGAATGGAGAGTCATGGAGTGCTTGCTGTGTGTCGGGTGTGAGTTCTCTCTGGTCGAGAACGGCCGCGTGGCGCGCCAACCGCGCTGCGGCCGCAGCACGTGCGCGGCGAGCTGGCGACACAACGCTCCGTTCGTGTTTAGGAGTCGCTCTTTCCTCGTTGACGTTGTGATCGTTGTCTCTCTACTAACGTACCTTCTCTCCCAAAAGTTATTTAACCCCACCCCGGTTTCGGATATCGGCGAACGATTGGACGGTGCCACCAACTGAGCCAAATGGAGCCCTCTGTGATGTGGGACCTCACTCCCAGAAGCTTGGAGCTTCAGGCCGCGACCACGTGGCTAGGTGGACACTAAAGTGCCATTTTGGCGCCAAATCTTGGCGCGAAATGACACGTGGACATGGCGGGAGTGTTGTGTGGCTGCGCCGCTCGCCGCAGCGCTGCTGTTGAGCGCCAGCTGCTGAGCTCCCTTGCGCAGCACAACCCCTGCGCAGCACGAGACCGCTGGCCTTCCTCCTGCACCACACAGGAGCGCGCCAAGGCGCGCGTCTGGGCAAGCAGTGCGTCTGATCGCGATGCGAGAGTCGACGCTGTGACGCCGCCGCTCGCCGGCTAGAATGACAGTGGCAGCATTCGAGTACGCGTCGACTCTGGGGTGGGTGCGGGGGGCCTAGAGGGTATCCATGCGGGGGGGGGATGGGGTCGAATGGCCCGCCGCAGGCGCCGATTTTTTCGGATTTTTTGCGCGATTTTGCACTTGTTTTCATGGGAATTCGGCATATTGCGGGGCCATGCTATCACGCCTTGCGACAGCCTGTCGGCGCTGCTGACCGTGCCATGCTGCACAATTGATCACCTGCATAGCTCGCGGCCTTAGTATCAAGCATTCAGTGACGACCTGATCGTACGCCAGTAGGAAGGTGTCCTTCCAGCTGCGTGCACGCTTCTGGCGCAATGCGCGTCACCTCGGATTGGCTGCTGGCACTCTCGAGGCTATGCCTACACAGCCTCGCGCGCATGGGCAGTCAAGAGGGACCACGCACCTTCTCAGGATAGCACCAGTGCCTCTCTCTTGGACCGGCAAACTTGGTGGTATCGTGTCACCAATGTGGGACCAGTGCGGCATCGCGCCATCGACAGCTCTGAACTGCGCCTCACCACTGACCGGGAAGGCCGCCAAGTGGGCCAACACAGGTCGCACATTGTGGCAGCAGTCAGCAGTGCATGTCTGATAGCTAGAGCAGCAGCGTCAGGGTCTCGCAGGGTCGGATCGTGTCAAGCCTCTCGCCCGGCCGGCCGCGTGCAGACGTCGGCCTGTCTGCTTCCTGGAGTGATCTGTCGGCGGTCAGTACGACCGATCAGGTTGAGGTTACTGATGGTTGGAGGGTCTATCTGTGTGTACTTCTCGAGATCTCTCCAAATTTACCCTCTGTTAGACCGGGTTAGATCGGGAAGTCGGTGCTCTGAGCGACTCTGAGCGCCGGGGCCCCGTTTCCGCACTGCGGCGCGGCCATAGTCTGAGGGTATCCTAAAAGTTCGGCCGATTTGGGTCAAAACGCTAAAAGCACGGCTAGCCGTAGATTTGGGGCAAAACGACAAAAGTGGGCCCGCCCGGGGCAAAATGGTAAAAGTCGCGCCGCCGCAGGCGCGCGAAAATTTTGGACATTCTACTCTCCGGCGAATGCCACTAGCCCCACCAAGCCGGCAGATGGTACCTCGGCGGAGCTGCAACCAAGCCAGCGGGTGAAGTGTTGTGGGAGGATGCGTCCTTATGTGTCACAAACTTGTAGCGCTACATGTTTGGACACACACCGGCGGGCGCTTTCGAGGGGCGAGCGGCAGAGCATTTTTTTAGCCATAGTGTGCGGGAACTACTTTGCCGTTGCGGGACGATAGGGATAGCTAGTACTTGCTGCACCCGCGGCGCGCAGCGCCGAAGAAATTTTTGAAACATGCTAAAAGTTGGGCGCTCCGAGACGACCAAAGTGGTAAAAAGTCGCACTCTCCACCCTTGACCCGATCAAAAAGCGTAAAAGCACCCCCGAGGCTCCAGAAACCTAACCCTCAGACTATGGGCGCGGCGCACGGTGCCTCCGGGGGCCCCCGCGCCCCCCCCAGAGCGCGTCGACCAGGAACCTGCCCACAAATAAATACCACACGCCCGCGCGCCTCACACTCACAGGGCGAGAACTAACCGACAGACGCCCGCCCACGGGGCGCCTCACTCACAGGGCGAGAACTAACCGACAGATTTTATAGTCATCCTCGCACACGTGTCTCTCGACTCGTCGAGCATCGGCCACATCCTTCCCGATCCTTCGACTCACTCACGGCTCGTAGCGAGGCTACGCATGCAGTCTTGCACGATCTTCATCTGCGCGTCGCTTGCACCGAACCCAGCCGGCGGCGGCGCGCGTAGCGCTGCGTTCACGAGGACCGGCAGCGGCGCCTGCCACTTCCGGCCTTTGAAGCCTCCGAGGGGCAGCCAGGCTTCGAAGGGGTCGCTCGTGCCGCCTGCAGGCGCCCTCATCAGCAGCACCTGCGGCTCGTCGGGCGGTGGCGCGCCGCTCGCGAGCCTCACCGCCGGCCCCGAGCCGTTGCGCGCGAGCTTCAGGTCGCCCGCCGAGAGCGTTGCACCGGCGGTCGGCGCGACGACGAGCCGCCGCGCGAGGAGGTCGCGGTAGTCGATGTCGTTGAGGTAGTCGATGCCGGCGCACCACGGGTCGATGTGGTGCGGGTAGGGCAGCCAGATGCACTGGCGCTGGTCGCCGCAGCCGACATCCATCCCCCGCAAGTGGCGCGGCTCGAGGGCGCGCTGCATCCACTTGAGCTCGCACGGGATCGGAGGCATCACGACGCGCCGCCGCAGCAGCAGCCCGAGCAGCAGCAGCCGCGCCGCGAAGCGGTCATACTCCCCCATCGAGGCGAAGGAGGTGCGGACGCCCTCCGTCACGAGCAGCCTGCCCGCCGCCTCGCCGCCCCACGCCCGCCGCCGCTCCTCGGGCGAACGCGCGCCCGCCGCCGCGAAGGCGCGGGGCGAGAGCCACGCGGCGGGCGCCACCGCGTCCGCCTCCGGCCTCCATATCTTCAGCGAGCGGAGGAGGGCGCGCCTCCCCCACTGCTCCTGCCGCAGGCCGGCCATGTGGACTAGCAGGCAGGGCACGCGGTGCTCGGGCGCGCACATGCGTCGCTCGAGCTCGCTCCTCGCCTCCCACCGCCACGACGCGTCGTGGCAGCCTCTCATCTGAGGGAAGAAGGCGCCGTACGGAAAGTGCGAGAAGGTGCTCTCTGCCGTGGGGAGGGCGGCGAGGGTGAGAATGCGAGGCGGCGAGTAGGCGAGGGACGTGGCTGAGTGGCGGAGGGACGGCGGCGAGGGACGGTGGCGGCGGCGCGGGAAGGGGTCGAAGCGCGACCTGCCGCCGACCGGCCCGTGGGCCCGCGGCGGTGCGCCGGGGAGAGAGGGCGCCACACGCACCCGATGCGAGGTAGAGGGACGATCGTGGCGCCGAAGCGTTGCCAGGCACTCCGAGGCTTCCCACTCGAGAGCCGCCGCCGCCGCCGCCGCCGCCCCTGCAGAGGTGCGCCACCTTGCGGAGGGCGCCGCGCCCTCCGCCTCCCGCCCCGCCGCCGCCCCGCAGGCTGCGGCGCGCGCGGTGCGTCTCCGCCTGGTAGCGAGGGCTCCCGAGCCGCTGCTTGCCCTCTCGCGCCGAGACGCACTCCACCGAGCCGTACGAGGCCGCCCCCGCCTTCCAGCAGTGGCCCGGCGCGAACTGGGCCTTGAAGCGCGCCTAGAGGAGCCGAACGGGCCTAGAGGAGCGCACCCGCGAACTGGGCCTTGAAACAGCTGCGGGTGCGGGAGGCGCGCGCCTCGAAAAACTCGACGCCGGCGGCAAAGGTCCGCTCTCCGATCAGTGCGGACGCAATCACGTCGTTGAGGTTGGCCTGCTCGTCGGCGTTTGCAAAGTGGGGCGGCGCCGACCATCCGGAGTGCGGCAGCTCGCGCACCGACTCCGGCCGAAAGGTGAACCGCTCGATCCTCGCGTTGAGCTCCTCGAGCAGCCAGGCGCCCCCGCTGCCGCGCGCCACGCCCTGCACGTAAAAGACGCCAGCGTTGGCGAAGGGGTTGTCGGTCTGGAAGATGAGCTGGTGCTCAAGGAGCGGCCCCTTGAAGAGCGGGTACGGGTTGGCGAGCACCGCGACGTCGGCGTCCAGATGCAGCACGTTGAGCCCGTGCGAGAGCACGAGCTGCACGAGCAGCCGCTTGCGCGCGCGGAAGAAGTCAAGCGCGACGGGGTTGAACTCGCGCATCCCAAAGAGGCGCATCGCGTCGTTGTATAGCGAGGCGGGCCGCTTCGAGGCGAAGGCGGATGGTTGCCAGACGCACGCCACGCGCGGCAGCACCTCCCAGACCCCGTCGCACACCTCCTGCTTGGGCGCAAAGAGTAGCATGTGGCGTAGCCCCAGCGAGGCGAGGTTGAGGACGAGATTTGCACCCATCCGCATCGAGCCCTCGCCGCCCACGCACAGCAGCATAACCTCTTTCCCGCTCCTCGCCGCGGGGAGCACGCGTGCAAGCGTCCCGGAGGCGTCGAGATCGCCGCCAGAGCGCTCGGCTGGCAGGTCGGGAGTATACTCGAGGCGAGCGCCGGTGGTGGCGACGCGCGCCGCCGTCAGAGCGGCGAGGTCGTCTGCCATTTGCGAAGGTGGCGTAAAAGAATTCACAGGGATCTCTCTCACCGACACAGGTTCGACACAGGTACCAAAAGGAGCACAGCAGGTGGCGTAAAAGAATGGGCGAAAGCTTGCACGATTCACACTACTCGAGTAGGTTTGCCCTATTTATTTACGATTCACACAAAGGCGTGAAAAGAATTCCTGAACCGCAACGCAACATTTTAGGCTGCCCTCGCGGGATTGGCTGTGCACCTCGCTGCACGGGGATTTTGATGACGCGTGGCGTCCGTACGGTTTTACTCTGCGGCCGGCAGCACGCGGCTGCCTGCTGCCTGAGCTACATGACGCGCTGCTCGAGCGCGACCACCGTCTTGGTGGTTATCACTTCTCTCGCCTCTCCTTGCGCCGCGAGTGACTTTGATTGGCGCTACTTTGCAGCCGGCGGCTTCAGTGCCGCTCTCTCGCATGGCTACACCACCCCGCTGGACGTCGTCAAGACGCGCATGCAGACGCACCCGCAGCTGGGCACGTCCGTCACGGCGGCGACCCGCAAGCTCGTCAAGGAGGAGGGCGTTGAGGTGCTGCTCAAGGGCCTGGCCCCCACCTGCGCCGGGTACGGCGTGGAGGGCGCTCTCAAGTTTGGTGTCTACGAAGTCCTCAAGCCTCTCTTTGCGCAGATGAGCCCCAACAAGATGCTCAACATGCTGGCCGCGTCGGTGGTGGCGGGTGCGGTGGCCTCCGTGGTCCTCTGTCCAGCTGAGGAGGTGCGAATCGTCCAGGTGTCCAACCCCGACTACTGCGACGGCGGTACGGTTGCGACGCTGCGCAAACTCGCACGGGAGAAGGGCGCGCTCGCGAGCTTCGAGGGGATGCCGGCAATGTGCGCGAAGCAGGTGCCGTACACGATGGGCAAGCAGGTCTCCTTCGACGTCTGCTGCGCATGTGTCCGCGGCCTCTTCGACTGGGGTTGCCACGTGAGCAAGGCAGAGAGCCTCCGGCCTGCGCTCGACCGGCTAGTCCCGTGCGTGGCCGCCCTGCCCGCCGCGGTGCTTGCGTGCTTGATGAGCCACCCCGGCGACATGGTGCTCACCGCCTACTACAACGGCGGCGGCGGCTCCGTCGTCGCGGCGGTGCGCAAGCTGGTGGCGGAGGGTGGCATGCCGGCGCTCTTTCGCGGCCTGCGCGCGCGGCTGCTTCACGTCATTTCGATTATCTGGGTCCAGCTCGTCGTGTACGACAAGGTGAAGCAGGTGCTCGGGCTGCCCGCGACGGGGCACTGAATGCGGTCGATAGGCGGTGGCGGTTTAGGCTCGCTTGGCCCTGGGGATTGCCTCGTCATCGCCTATCGAAGACTGCGGCTCGATCGGGCCGCAAGGGATTACCGTAGCGTGTGCGTGTAGTGCAGGGCGTACTGTAGGTATCGTACCTTTCCGCTCATTGAGCAACAAGTTGAGTCGCTCATCAGGCCAAGAAGAGACCCGTACAAGGGTCTGGCCCAGCCTCTGGCGAGGTACTCACCTTGTGATTCGTTTTGGGTCAAAATCGTCCCCCAGACCGGGAGACGCCTCTCAGGGTTTTGGATATTATTGTAGCGCGTATGGGGTTTCAGTGTATGGGGCGAGCCTTGGCGAGCAGCGTTCAGCTGTTCCCACAGCAGGCTGGAAGTACCTCGCCCAGACAAGGGTCCGGGAGGGGGGGGTTCACAGCATATGCCCGCCACCGTTATCGGGGGCTCCCTTTGCGGAAGAGCCGAAGCCACACTGCCGTTTGCAATCTCGAGCATGCTTCCGACGCACTCACCGCCCAAGGCGCTGGACCAGCCGCTCCTCGCGGACGCGGAGCCCTGGTTCAACCGCCCCAAGACCAAGAGGGCGCTCGTTGCCGGCGCCATGCTCCTCGTTGCCGGCGGCTGCGGAATTGGACTCGTCGGCGCGATGGTTGTGCCCAGCGGAGTCTTTCTGCAGAGCGCCGACGAGTCGGTGTCGGCGCTCAAGGCCGAGAACGAGGCGCTGAGGAAGGAGAACGCGGCACTGAAGAACGCATCTCAGCTCTCCAATTCGTCCAAGTTTGGCGGTAAAGACGTGCGCTTTGGCTTCAACCGCGGTGACACGCTGGATGGCGGGTCGAAGGCCGGCGATAGCTCCTGGGGCGGGACGCCGTACGGCAACAAGATCAACGGCGGATTCGATGTGGGCACGATGTCTGGCCGGAAGGATGGCGCAAAGGCGACGGGCTTCGGCTTTGGGCCGAAGACGGACCCGCGCGGCGAAATGGAGAAGAAGTGGAGCGGCGGGATGCAATTCGGTCCGGACCTCGAGGACGGCGGGTCCAAGGATGGGGATAAGTCATGGGGTGGAACTCCCTTTGGAAACAAAGTCAACGGCGGCTACGACATCGACAAGTGGACTAGCGTGGGAGGCGCCAAGGGCGGCTACAAGGATGCAGACGGCACGAAGTTCGGGCCCGGCATGGAGGACGGCGGATCCAAGGCGGGAGAGAAGTCGTGGGGTGGAACCCCCTACGGCAACAAGATCAATGGTGGGTACGACTTTGGTAAGTGGACTGGCGGTGACAAGGCGACCGACAAGCCAGCTGGCTTTGCCCCCCAGGGGCGCCTCTGACGCCAGCGACTCTCTGACAGGCGACGGACAGCGCGTGGGCCAGTAAGCAGGGCACTCGGGCCCCGTGGACAGGCTGTGTTGCGCCACAGCGGCTAGAGCACCGTGTGCAGTAATGCGCTCCGCACCGTGCCCTAGCGACTTTGGCACAACAACGACGCACACACAGAAAATTTGGGCAGTGGAGAGTGCGGCATGTGTTGCTGTTGGCCGCCATGGCTGTTGGCCCATCACGCAAGTTGTTCATTGTGTCCTCAATCTTAAGACAAAGGATTTGACATCGCGTGGCCCACCAGTCGGGTCGGCAGCCCGCAGCCGATCGGTGGTCGGTCCCAGAGACCGCGCCCTCTCCTCGTCGCTCTCTCTCGCTCTCGTCTTCCGTGTGTGTGTGGCCCCCTCTAGGTGGCCCTGTGCGCTGTGGCCCTGCGCGCGCGTCGGTCATGACGTCGACGGTCCGGCCTCCGGCGTCGCCCCGGGGGGGGGGGGGGCGCGGCGCACCCGGGGGCGCGGGGCCCGCGCGGTCACCCGCACACACCAGCCACCGGGGCGCCGCCACGCGCGCCAGGCGCCACGCCCGGCGGCGGTGGCGGCGTCTCTCTCGGTCTCGCTCAGTCGCGGTCAGAGCTGGGTCAGAGGGGCCGGGGGAGAACAACGAATAACGAAACAGGCGTGAAGGAGTCCCCACTGGACGCCCACTCTCCGCGCATGAAACGACGTGTGGGAAGTGACCTGCCATTTCCTATGCTAGCCTACACGGAAGCTCGCTCCTCCGAGTCGGACCGCTCCACAGCGGGCGCCATCGGCATCGACCGGTCCGGTGCCGGTGCCGGTGATGGCACGGGCGGCGCTGTGGATGTCGCGCATGGCTCCTCGGCGGCCTCTGCGTCACTGACGTCATGATGCCGCGCCGCCTGCAGCGCGGCAGTGCCAAGCGCAATGGCCCAGCCAACCGTGAATAGAAGGCCTACAGCAACAGAGCGATCCTATCCGTGAGCAACAATGCTCAGCAAGTCGAGCAGATAGACGCAGGGGCGTCGTCGACCAATACGGTGCAGCGCTGGCTGCTCGTGACCAAGAAGAGGAGCGAGTCCTTGCCGGGAAGAGGCCTCGGGCGGCGCGCTCGGTGGCGGCGGCGAGGCGGGTGGAAGAAGCAGCGCGACGACGTTGGGGCACGTTAGGCCGCCAAGTTTGCTGAAGGCGCTGACCAAGCCGAAGCCGGCGCCGCGCGCCGTGGCAGGGAAGGCAGCCGGCGTGACCACGTATAGGACTGGCCACACGATGCCAAAGGTGAGGGCAAACAGGGCGTAGGCGACGACAAAGAGGTCCGAGGCGAACCGCTGCGACGAGGGTCGAGGGGCAATGGAAAGGTGCGCGTTGGGCGGGGGTGTGGCGGGGAGGGGGAGCAAACGCGAGGGCGCAGTTGGCAGTGGCGCACGCGCCGTGCCTTCTGCTGCGTGCCGTCAGCACATCTGCACGTGCGTCTACTCCCGCACCTCGCGGCTGTCGACGATCCAAGTCAGCGCCAAGGACCACGCCAGGGTGCCCGCGAGGGCGGAGAGCAGAAGCGGGTAGGCGCCGGTGCGCCTGCGCCACTCGGGATGCGGTCACGACGGGCAGGGCCCCAGGGAAGGCTGCGCGGCGCCACCTGATCACAGCGGCAGCGAGCACGAACGCGGCCATCGCCACCACGCGAGCAACCGTCATCGCCACGTACATGGAGGCGGGCGCCAAGCCCTGCCGCTTTGCCAGCTCGGGAGTCCAGGCCCACCAGCCGCTGCCAAAGTTGGCCGCAAACCACAACGCCGCCAGCAGCGTCGTGGTTGGCCGGAGCGACGCGACGCAGAGGCCACGCACGGGTCGCAGCGCGCCGCCGAGCCTGTGCGGGCAGCCGATGGCGAGGCGAGGGCGCCGAGCCCGGTCGGCGCGATCATCCCTGGCCGGTGGCAGCCCGACGGTCCCATCGCCATCGCAGCCCTCGCCGCCGCCGCGCGCCGCGACGATGCGGCTCTGCGCGTCTGCCGACGCGAGCGTCCGGCTGCGGGGAAGCAGCCGCGTGACGCCGCTCCCTCCCGCGCTGATGCTGGCGAGGACCTGCGCCGCCTCGCCGCCCCTCCCCGCCGAGATGAGCCAGAGGGGGCTCTCGGGCAGCGCGAAGGCGGCCGCCGCGAGCACCGCAGCCGCGGGCAGCGCGACCAGGCAGAGGTAGAGGCGCCATCGGCCGGGCAGCAGCAGAGCGGCGAGGCCGGTGCTTCCCAGGCTGCCAATCTCGTTGAACAGCTGAAGCGCGACGACGCCGCGGTCGCGAAGTGAGGGTGGCAGCAGCTCCGAGGCGAGCGAGACGGCGAGGGGCAGGTTCCCTGCGGCGGACGACCGGCGTCACGGGACGGGCCACGGCCGGGACGGCGAGACAGCACTGCTGCGCCTCCGATGGCAAAGCCCGTGACGAGTCGGAGCATGCAGTAGGTGTAGAAGCCAGGCGCGGCCGAGGATGCGACGCCAAAGAGCACGGTCAGCGCGAGGGAGAGGAGGAAGACTGGCCGCCGGCCGCCGGCGTCCGCGAGCGCACCCCAGAAGGTGGCGCCCGCCGCCTGACCAAAGTAGATGGCTGTCGACATGGCGCCCAGCTGGCCCGGCGAGAGCGACCACAGGTCCTCGAGCGTGGGAAGCATGTAGGAGAGGACGACATTCTCGGCGCCGTCGCTCATCCACCCGAAGCCGCACAGGCACAGAACGCCGAGGCTGTACCGCCCTGCCCCACGCTTCTCGAGCAGAGCTTCGGCGGCGGCACGCGCGTCCATCGGGATGGAGAGAAACTTCATGTCGGGAGAAAAGAAATCGGATCGCGCGAGTACAAAATTAATTACAAACACTCCGTTGAGCGACCTGGAAACTTCAGACGAAAAGAAAAAATCCCAGCGTTCGCGCTTAAGGTTCCCCGGGCCACTTTCGGGGGGCAAACCCTGCCCGGCCCCTAGAACCCCAGGTAAGGCCCAGGTGAGGCCTTGGGCATCAGAAGGGACCAAGAGAAGTCCAGTCTGAGCCATAGAGCCCATGTCTTTGCCCCCGAAGGTCGCGTTTCCCCGAATGCCCGGAACGGACGTCACAGTGGTGTCCGGCCGGCGCGATCACCGAGCTATGACGCTCAGGGAAGCCTTCGAGGGAAGTGGTATGGATGGCCGCGAGCGGCGAGGGAGGTCCCCATCTGAGGGAGGGTGTAGAGGATGTAGAGTGTAGAGCGCTGTAGAGCTGTAGAGATGTAGAGCGCTCCGGAGTGCTGTAGAGCTGTAGAGCTCTACATCCGCCGCGGGACGAAGCGGGTGCGTTGTCTACCCTTATAAGTCTCTCGTGTCGGCGCCGACGCTCTTGGTTTAACCGTAGAACGTCCCAGCTTCAGTCGGCCTCCGTCCACAATCGTCGGCCCGCAGCGACCCGCAGCGATGGATGCCGCCGCCCCCCCGGCCCCTGCGGCTGACGCGCCGATGCACGACCGGCCTCCGTCGGATGGCTCTCCGGCCTCTCCGGCCGCTGACGCGGCCGCCCATGCTGTTGCCGATCCGGTCCCTCTCACGCTCAGCGATATCCGCACAAGCTACGACAACTTCGAGGTCGCCGGCTTTGGCCAGGTGCAGCCCACCACCTGCTTGCCTCCATGTTCACGCTTCGCGCCCCTTCCCCCCCTCTGACGCCGCCGTATGACCGTAGGCGAGGGGCACGACTACCCGCCTGGAAGGCGCTCTCATCAGCAAGTCACCCAGGCACCAACTCCTGGGCGTTTACGCTTGACTACGAAACCATGCAGTGGATGCAGCTCGATCAAAACGGCGACGCCAACAGCTGGTCCCTGGGCGAGTTCCTCGCCCAGGATGAGGTGCGAGTCATGATGCTCGACCCAGCGTGCACCAAGTCGCTCACATTCCGTGAGTTCGTCAACGGGCCGAACACACTCTCCAAGTCGACTGCGATCTCGAACTCCGACAACTGGACCGGTGCACCGGCCGCGGAGGACGATGGCTCCCTCGACAACATCCCTTCATCGACGGACGCCTTCACCGCCGCCGGCCCTGGGCCATCCAGCGCGGCCTCCGACGGCCTGCACGTGATCGAGCGGGTACAGAAACGGTGGCTGCCGCAGCTCACACCCTAATCGATCTGCCTTAGGCACGGAGCCAACGGAGCCATCGCGCATGCCCGCATCGCGTGCGGCTCCGAGGTCTCCCGCCGAGACCGGCTCGGCGCGGCGCGTGGCCGCACGCCGCCGTTGAAAAGGCGAGATAGGACCGAGGGGAGAGCGCCGGCCACATCGAGCGAGCGCTGACGTGTAAGGTGTCTGTGCTGCTCCGGTGTGTGTGGGATTCTGCCCCCCCCCCCCATCTGTGCGGCGAGTTGTTTGCGGCGCGATGCCCGATCGTGCGCGATAGATTGTGCGTGGTGTGTCGGTTGTCGGGGTCGTCCGGAGCGTGTGGCGGCGCCGTTGCATGCAGCGACTGCTCCACGTGCCACGACTGCTTTGACTGACGTGACTGACTGATGAGACATGAGTGCTGATGGATGATCTCCGACAACCCAAAACCAAAATGCAAATGCGGAGTGGCCCACTTTGGCGTGCAGATCCTGCGTCTCTCACTGCCCGAACAACAGAGACGGGTACCGCCGCAGGTCCACACTAGTAGAGCGATGTAGAGGCGCTCTACAACGTGAAATCTCTACAACAAACTCTACATCATAAGCAGCGAACGAGGCACGGTCGCTCTCCGACATGAGGCGCGTTGCACTTGCCAGTGCTGCCCTGGCCTTCTGTCTGCCCGCCCAATGGGTGGGAGGTGCCTCTGCTGCTGTGGCATGCCTCACGGCTATGACTGGCCGGCGCCTCGGCGCGTCAGCTCGGCTCGGCGTAGCGATCGTAGCCAGCGCAACTCGCCTGGACTCAACGCTCAGCCAGGAGCTCCCGCACACGCTGGCGCGAGTCATGGCGCATGCAACGCGTCTGAATGCTCGCCTCGCCTCGCGCAAATGCGACCGCCCTCGCAGCCGACAGTCCACCGCCTGCTAAAGAAGCACAGCGATGAATGCGGCACCGGCGACGCATGGCAGGCTGGTCATGACGCAGTTAGGGTGTTTTGTGCCGTCAGAGTGACTCTCTGTGTGTCAGGGATAGTCAGGGCCGTCCATCAGAGCTCCAGTAAGCTCGGAGACACCCCATTAGTGCGACTCGACCTCTTTGAGTCAATGCCTTCCCGGCGGTTTGGCTGTAGAGCCTCTTACAACAAACTCTACAGCAAAATCGCGCTCTACATCGCTCTACAACGCACCCGCTTCGTCCCGCGGCGGATGTAGAGCTCTACAGCTCTACAGCGCTCTACATCTCTACAGCTCTACAGCGCTCTACACTCTACATCCTCTACACCCTCCCTCAGGTCCCCATCCCTGAGGGAGGGTGCTCTGGGGGGAGGCGGGGCCCCTAGGGGGTACCCATGCGGGGGGGAGACGGGGTCCCATGGCCCGCCGCAGATTTTTTTCGCGATTTGTTTCTTTTTTGCGCCATTTTCTACTTGTTTCCATGAGAATTTCGCGTATTGCGACCATGCTATCACGCCTTGCGACAGCCTGTCGGCGCTGCTGACCGTGCCATGCTGCACAATTGACCACCTGCATAGCTCGCGGCCTTAGTCTTTGGCATTCAGTGACGACCTGATCGTACGGCCAGTAGGAAGGTGTCCTTCCAACGTGTGCACGCTTCTGACGCAATGGATGCGCGTCGCCTCGGATTGGCTGCTGGCACTCTCGAGGCTATGCCTACACAGCCTCGCGCGCATGGGCAGTCAAGAGGGACCACGCACCTTCTCACGACAGCGCCGGTGCCTCTCTCTTGGACCGGCAAACGTGGTGGTCTCGTGTCACCAATGTGGGACCAGTGCGGCATCGCGCCATCGACAGCTCTGAACTGCGCCTCACCACTGACCGGGAAGGCCGCCAAGTGGGCCAGCACAGGTCGCACATTGTGGCAGCAGTCAGCAGTGCATGGCTGATAGCTAGAGCAGCAGCATCAGGGTCGCAGGGTCGGATCGTGTCAAGCCTCTCGCCCGGCCGGCCGCGTGCAGACGTCGGCCTGTCTGCTGTCTGGAGTGATCTGTCGGCGGTCAGTACGACCGATCAGGTTGGAGTTTTCTGATGATTGGAGGGTCTATCTGTATGTACTCCTCGAGATCTCTCCAAATCTGCGCTCTGATTAACCTTTCTTAGTCGGGAAGTTGGTGCTCTGAGCGACTCTGAGCGCCGCGGAGCCCCGTTTCCGCACTGCTGCGCGGCGCACGGTGCCTCCGGGGGGGCCCGCCTCCCCCCAGAGGGAGGGTGTAGGGGATGTAGAGTGTAGAGCGCTGTTAGTAGAGCTGTAGAGCTGTAGAGCTGTAGAGCACTGTAGAGCTGTAGAGCTCTACATCCGCCGCGGGACGAACTGCGTGCGTTGTAGAGCGATGTAGAGGCGCTCTACAACGTGAAATCTCTACAACAAACTCTACATCATAAGCGGCGAATGAGGCACGGTCGCTCTCCGACATGAGGCGCGTTGCACTTGCCAGTGCTGCCCTGGCCTTCTGTCTGCCCGCCCAATGGGTGGCAGGTGCCTCTCTGCTGCTGTGGCATGCCTCACGGCTGCGACTGGCCGGCGCCTCGGCGCGTCAGCTCGGCTCGGCGTAGCGATAGTGGCCAGCGCAACTCGCCTGGACTCAACGCTCAGCCAGGAGCTCCCGCACGCGCTGGCGCGAGTCATGGCGCATGCAACCGGCGCAGCAATGCTCGCCTCGCCTCGCGCAAATGCGACCGTCCTCGCAGCCGGCAGTCTACCGCCTGCTAAAGAAGCACAGCGACGAATGCGGCACCGGCGACGCATGGCAGGCTGGTCATGACGCAGTTATAGGGTGTTGGTGTGCCGTCAGAGTGACTCCCTGTGTGTCAGGGATAGTCAGGGCCGTCCACCAGAGCTCTGCAGTAAGCTCGGAGACAGGAGGACGGACGGAAACAGACCCCCCTTTTATGGCTGATCCTGGGCATGGCCTCTCTGGGGGTGAGCTGGGTCGGCCTCCTCCGGGTCTGCAACTCGCACGGCGGGTCCGCGTCCGGGCAAGCATCTGAGGCCCGCGGTTGTCCTTTCGCTGGGTGCGACCGACATGGAGATCTGCTGCCCTCAGATCAGTGCTTTTGTCGACTATTGCTCGCTCTCTGTCCACTCGCAACGCCAGCGGCCGTGCTTGGAGAATGCGTCGCAGTGCTGCTGCGCCTGTGGATTGAGCCGCGGCGCAAGCTCCATCGGTGAGCTGCGGTGGCGCGCCGGCCGCTTCATGCATAGCTCTCCGGCGAGCGGCCGCGAACGCGTTTTCCGTCCACCGTTTCATCGAGTTTGCCCGAGTGGTAAAATGCAATCGTAATTTGCCCGAGTGGTAAAGTGCAACTTTGGCATTTGGAAAAGTTGCCCGAGTGGTCTGTCGGTCTGTGGGAAAAAAAACCAAAGCCCATGGGTGGCCCCGAGAGCTAAAGGTCAACATCCCCTCCGGCTACGACAATGTGAACCTGATCTGGTCCTCATGGGGTTGACCCGTCTCCTCCAGATCGAGACGGACTTCATGAACGGCCGAGCAATATTTCTTCATTAATATTATTAGTTGATGCTTTTTGCAGGGGTGAGCCCCCCCCCCCCCCCCGCGCCCATTCTCTGCCCTCTCCCGCCACACACTCCGTCAGAGCCCCCTCCCCTCTTGCACAACAGGAACTTTGACAATTAACCAGATGGCAATGGTGGGCTTGCCCACCCCGGAGTGGTTCGAACCCACGCATACCCGACTTTCCGAAGACGAGCCCCGCGCCACGGTTGCCAGCCCAGGTTCGAGTGGGAAAAGAAAAGAACGGCCGACCTTCCAGTCCACAGCGCCCCAGACATCGAGAGAGAGATCGGCTGCGCCGCACACCTTGAATGCTTGTCAAGATCAAAGTGAGCTCGAACGGGCAGACGCTCAGCATCGACGCGGCGCCGGCCGACACCGTGGTCGCGCTCAAGGAGAAGATTGCCGAGGCGTCGTCCGTGCCGGCGGCGCAGCAGCGGCTGATCTATTCGGGCAAGGTGCTGCAGGACAGCCAGAGCCTTGAGTCCTACCACGTGGAGGAGGGACACATGATCCACATGGTTCGCGGCGCCGCGCCCGCCTCCACGCCCGCCAGCGCTCCGCCCGCGGCGACGCCGACCGCGCCCGCTGCGCCGGCCGTGGCGGCCGGACAGATGCCCTTCGGCGGCGGCATATTTGGCGCCCCGCCCGCGTTCGGCGGCGCCGCGGGCGGCGGCGGCATGGGCGGCGGTGGCGGCGGCGGCGGCGGCATGTTTGGCGCGCCCGGCGGCGGAATGGGCGGCATGGGCGGCATGGGCGGCATGGGCGGCATGGACCCAGCGTCCATGATGCAAATGATGCAGAGCCCGGCGATGATGCAGCTCGCGACGGCGATGATGCAGGACCCGAACGCGCTCGCCTCGCTCCAAAACATGATGACCGGCGGCGGCGGCAACCCGCAGCAGGCCTACCTTGACCACATGAATGCGCTGATGAGCAACCCGCAGCTGTCGCAGGCGATGATGGGGCTCATGCAGGTGAGCCGCGACACGGCGGTGCGGTGCGCGCCGCTCGGGCGTCCTGCTCACCGGCGCCCCCTCCCCCGCCCTCCTCTTCGCAGGACCCGCAGATGATGCAGATGATCACGCAGCAGATGCAGAGCGGCGGAGGGATGATGGGCGGGATGGGGATGGGGATGGGCGGCCCCCCGTCGCTCGGCTTCAACCCGGCCGCCGCCGCGACGCCGCCGCCCGCCGCCGCGCCGCCCGCCGCCGGGGCGGGCGGCGCCGCTGTGCCGCCGGTCGGCGCGCCGCCCTCCAACCCCAACCCGGCGTCGAACTTCAACGCGTCGATGGTGCAAGCGATGCTCGGGGCGATGGGCGGCGGCGGCGGAGGCATGGCCGGCGGGGCGACCGGCGGGGCGGCGCCACCCGCGGCGGTGCCGGCCGCGGCAGCTGCGCCGCCCTTGCGCGCCGGTTCAAACCTCTCCGCCGCGCCGCCGTAGGTTCCGCCGGCGGAGCGGTACGCGGCGCAGCTGTCGCAGCTGTGCGATATGGGCTTCCTCGACACCGAGGCTCGCCGCGCGCGCCAACGACTGCGGGCTGCGGGCGGGCGGGTCGCGAGAGGGGCGCGCGTGTGTGGGACTCTAGGCGAACTTGCGCGCCCTCGTGGCCACCGGAGGGAACGTCAACGCGGCGGTGGAGAGGCTCTTTGGGGGCGCCTGAGGAGGAGGAGGAGCCGCCGGAGAGCGGCGCAGCCAGCTCCGCGGGGCGCGGGCGGCGGCGGCGGCCCACGCCAGACAGACATGGCAGAACGTGTCTCGGAATCGCGCCTCGCTCCGGGGCGAGGCACGCGCCGTCCGCCGTCGGTGGCGGTGGCGCCCCGTCGGCAGCCGGCGTTTTTCGGAGAGTGGCCGCGTGCGGCGTGTTTTGGGTCTGGGAGAGGGAGCGGGGAGCGGCGCGCACACACCGAGGGTCACGTCTCGAGGCGTGGGGTCGCGGTTGTGTGGCCGCGGTGCGGCAGCCACGAGAGGAGCGCTAGGGAGAGAGACCGAGGGGCCGGGGCGGGGGGGGACGAAGGAGGGGCTCGAGCTCACGGAGAGCTGTGTGTGTCGGCGCACGGCGCGGGGAGCTCTTGGGGAGACCGCGGGAAAGAAGTTTTGGCGTTGTTGCGGCGACCTGGGTAATGTGCGGGTGGAGCTCGGTGGGGGACCGAAGCCTCGCCTCTCCCGGCGGCGGCTCGGTCATGTATTTATCCCGTTCGAGACTCAACCACTTCAAATACAATCACAGCGAGGCCAGGAGATGACCGTCTTTTGTTCTCACGGCTCGCGCCACATTGGGGGGGGGGGGGGCGGCTGGGGGCGGCGTCACGCACGCGCCTCCCGCCTAGCTGTACAGGTCCTCGTCGTCCTCCGCGGCCGTCGCCTCGAAGCCGCCGCCCGCGCCGGCCGCCGGCGCCGCCGAGCCGCCCACGCCGCCCTCAGGGAACTTGAACGTGGAGCCAAAGCCGCGCGACTGCTGCAGCGTCTGCGAAAACATCTCGTACTTGCGAATGTCGTTGTCCGAGACCGAGCGGCGCGCGAACTTCATCGCCTCCTCGAAGTGGGTCTTCGTGATCTCGGGCACGGGGTCGTCCGGCTCCGTCTCCATGGCGCCCTCGCCTGCCGCGGCGCGCTCCTTCTCGAGCTCGATCTCCTTCTCGATCGACTCGCGGATGGCCATCTTGGCGGCGCGCTGGCAGATCTCGGTCAGGTCGGCGCCCGAGAAGCCGTGCGTCGTCTTTGCGAGGAACTCGAGGTCCACCTCGGGCGCGAGCGGCGACTTGCGCAGCGCCGCCTTGAGGATGTTTGAGCGCGACGCCTCGTCGGGCAGCGGGATGTAGATCAGCTGGTCGAGCCGGCCGGGGCGCAGCACGGCGGGGTCGATGATGTCGGGCCGGTTGGTGGCGCCGATGATGAAGACCGACTTCTTGGCGCCCATGCCGTCCATCTCGGTCAGGATCTGGTTGATGACGCGGTCGCCCGCGCCGCCCGCGTCGCCGCCCGACGAGCCGCGCGCGCGCGCAATCGAGTCGAGCTCGTCGAAAAAGAGGACGCAGGGCGCGGCACCGCGCGCCTTGTCGAAGAGCTCGCGCACGTTCGCCTCTGACTCGCCGAACCACATCGTCAGCAGCTCCGGCCCCTTGATTGAGATGAAGTTGGCCTGGCACTCGTTCGCGATGGCCTTTGCGAGCAGCGTCTTGCCGCAGCCGGGCGGGCCGTAGAAGAGCACCCCCTTGGAGGGGGACATGCCGAACTTCTCGAACTTCTCGGGGAACTCGACGGGGTACTGTACCACCTCCTGCAGCTCCCGCTTGACGCCCTCCAGCCCGCCGATGTCGTCCCACGTCACGTTTGGCACCTCGACCACCGTCTCGCGCAGCGCCGATGGGTTGGACGTGCCGAGCGCGAGGCGGTAGTGGTCCTGCGAGACGGCCATCGAGTCGAGGACCTCGGCGTCGATCTCGTCGTCGTCGAGGTCGATGACGTCCATCTTCTCGCGGATGCACTGCATCGCCGCCTCGGTGCACAGCGCCGCGAGGTCGGCGCCGACGTAGCCGTGCGTCTCCTTTGCCAGCTGCTCGAGGTCGACGTCGTCGGCGAGCTTCATGTTCTTGGTGTGGATGCGCATCACCTCGAGCCGGCCGTTCTCGTCGGGGACGCCGATGTCCACCTCGCGGTCGAACCGGCCGAACCGGCGCAGCGCCGCGTCGATCGAGTTTGGCCGGTTGGTCGCGCCGATGACGACGACGTGCGAGCGCGCCTTTAGCCCGTCCATCAGGGTGAGCAGCTGCGAGACGATGCGGCGCTCCACCTCGCCCTGCGTCTTCTCGCGCTTGGGGGCGATCGAGTCGATCTCGTCGATGAAGATGATGGCGGGCGAGTTCTTCTCCGCCTCCTCGAACGCCTTGCGCAGGTTGGACTCGGACTCGCCTGCCGGGGGGCCGGGCGCGCGCGTCACCACGCGGCAGGGAGGGCGCGAGAGGGGGCGGCGGGGGCGGCGCGCCGGCGAGCTTGGACATGATCTCGGGGCCGTTGATGAGGAAGAAGAAGGCGCCCGTCTCGTTCGCCACCGCGCGCGCGATGAGCGTCTTCCCCGAGCCCGGCGGGCCAAACATCAGGATGCCGCGGGGCGGCTTGACGCCGATCGACTTGAAGAGCTGCGGGTGGCGCAGCGGCAGCTCGACGAGCTCGCGGATGTTGGCGAGCTGCTTGCGCACGCCGCCAATGTCGTCGTACCCGACGTCGTCCTTGGACTCCTCGTCGTCGCGCTTGATTGGCTCGCCCTCGCAGTGGATGACGGTGTCCGGCGCGACAATGCAGTACTCGACGGGGTCCGTCTCGACGACCTTGAACTCGACGGCGCGCATGCCGCCGCGCACGAGGAAGAGGTCGTTCTTGCGCACCGGGCGGTACGCCTCCAGGAAGTACGGCTTAAGGAAGACGTCGAACAGGTTGCCTGCCACAGCCGGGCCGCGGGGCCGAGGTCAGCCGCGGCAGCGCCGGGTGTCAGGGCTGCGCTACGCCTCGGCGGGCGGCGCGGCGGCGGTCCGCCACACCGGCCCGCGAGCCTGTCTCCGCCGCTCCGCTGCCTCCCCCCTCTCCCGCCGCGTGCGTCCGCGGGCGCACCCGTGATGCCCTCGATGGTGTCGTCAATCGGGAGGATGTGCACGCGCTTGCCGTACTTGACGTCAGGGCACTGGTGGACCGAGATGACGTCGCCCAGGCGCACCTTGAGGTTCTTGCGGACGCACTTGTTCATGCGGATCTTGCCCAGGTCGCACGTGTCGTCCGCCAGCACGATGCACACCGTGTCCTTGCGCCGCTTGCCCTTGATAAGCACCGTGTCGCCGCGGAAGAGCTGCAGCTCCTCCATGGTCTGCACATTGAGCGCGACGACGGAGTTGTCGTCATTGACAGCCTCGTCCACCACGAGGCGGTTGGGGTTCTTCTTCTTCACCGGCTTGGTCTCAGCGGACGCGTCAGCACTCATGGTCTCTCGGGTCTGCGCGCAGGGGCGGCCGACGGCTCAGCCTGCAGCGGAGCTCGCCGGCGTGGGCTGGAGACTGGGTGTCTGGGATCTGCCGCGAGTGGTGCAGGGGGCAGCGTCTCTCGATTGGCGAGGAGCGAGGCAGGAGGCGGGCGGCGGCAACAGAGGCGTCTGGCGCCTGCCTGGAGTGTTTAGCCACAAGCAAAAAGAATCGCTCGGCGGCTTGGACACCATCACCAAGCCGAGTTGCGCTTGCGGCCTCCCCGTTCCACGCCGCGACTCCCGTTCGCTCTCTCCATGTTTCCCTCCCTCGGGTTGTCAGAAATAGCTTGCTTTCTTTCTGGGCGCGTTCTAGCTTATCTGCAATCTGGATTCGGACCCGCCTCACTCCTTCGCACCTTCCTTCCGCCGCCTCGGCGCACCTGCTCGGCCGAGCCGCCCGCCCTCCCTCAATCTACAGCGGGTTGGGGAGAGGCCAACATCCCCCCTTCCCCCTCCCCCCCCTCCTTTCCTCGCGGCCACCACAACAAGCTTTTCTGGCGCCTGCTTGGAGAATTAGCAAAAAGAATCGGCAGCTAGACCCCCCCGACACCAGCAGCAAAAAAGGGTGGTGTTAATAAACACCGGGGGTTTTGGAGGGGCCGAGAGCTTAGCCGCCAAAGCCGTACAGCGTGCGGCCCTGGCGCTTGAGCGCGTAGACAACGTCCATGGCGGTGACGGTCTTGCGGCGCGCGTGCTCGGTGTAGGTGACCGCATCGCGGATCACGTTCTCGAGGAACACCTTGAGGACGCCGCGCGTCTCCTCGTAGATGAGGCCCGAGATGCGCTTGACACCGCCGCGGCGAGCGAGGCGGCGGATGGCGGGCTTGGTGATGCCCTGGATGTTGTCGCGAAGCACCTTCCGGTGGCGCTTAGCGCCGCCCTTGCCGAGGCCCTTGCCGCCCTTGCCGCGTCCAGACATTTCTGCTGTTGTTTGATGTTGGTGTTGTACTCTGTATTGAAATCTGACCGGATCTTGCTCGGCCGGCCGGTGGAGGGCAAACACGCGGCTGCAGCGGCGCACACCCCGACAACTCCCCCCTGCGCGGCCCTTCAGTGCATCTCGGCCACCACAATGGCCCTCCATCGGCGCCAACTGCCGGCACTGCTCCTCGTGGTCTCCGCGGTCGCTATGGGACGTACCAGACAAACAAATGTGGCCGGATGCAATGCGCGCGCTGCCGATTGGCGGGGGAAGCATGCCCGGCGCGACGGCGTGCAAAGCACCGCGCTGCGGATCCGCGGCGGGCGCGCCACCTCCTTGCCCAAGCTCGTGCCCGCCTGGCGAGGCAACGTCCTGCAAACTAGATGCCCCAGTCACGCCTCCCTCCCCAAAAGAGACGCTCAGCCCCGCGCAACCCATCCGATTGATCCCCACCGCCGAGACACTTGAGCTCGCGACGAATCGCCGCCCTGCGCAAAGAGAGCAGATGCCCCACAGGACATGCTTCCCCCCCCCGACGCTTGCTCTCACCCCACCCAACTCGCTCCCCATCACCGGGAGCGGCACAACCCTCGCGTTCCAACGGCAGGCGCTCGACCTCGTCGCCGCCGCCGCAGTGGGGGGCGCTATGGGATGCATCGCCGGTTCGACCGCCAAGAGCGCAGCGGACGTGGCACAGCTCCTCTACACGCACCTCACCTTTACCCTGCTCCTGCGTAAACTCGGCCTCATTCACATCGAGTGGCATCGGGTGTGCCGGCCCTGTTGTGTGCCGTCGGCGCTCGCACGCCTCCCACGGGAGCCCTCCAACACAGGTGCACGCCCTCCTTTCCTGTGCTACCCACCTGCCCCTCCGGCTGCTGCGCCTCTGCCGGGCCGAGCGAAGGCGGAGGAGGGAGGAGGCGGCCCGCAGTCGGCACTCCCAGCGGGTAGCGGGCGACGAGGACTGCGACGCCTCGTGGTGGTTGCTCAATGAGGGATTCCTAGATGCTCCGGACGACGGTGTGCCTGCCTCTGGCGCTTCGCACCCTTCCTGTCGCTCACAAATACGCACCGTTGGGCGCCGCAGGAGCACGCGGCAGTGGGCGGCGTGGGCGCATTCGCCGTTGGTGCCTGGCTGGTGCCGGCAGACGGGTGGCGCTGGCCAGGACGAGGCGATCGCCATAGCCGCTGAGATTGGACGAATCTGTGGTCGAGTCTCTGGGGGGCGTTCGAAAGCCATGTGTCGTGTCGCTCCGCCGGCCTTTCCCGTCGCTCCAGGTATTGCCGCGCGCCGGTGGCGCGTGTGAGGCCCCGCGGGCAGCCTGCTGGCTTTCGCCTTGCGCTAGGACCCTAGCGCAGCCATTTCCACCACGAGGCGGTTGGGGTTCTTCTTCTTCACCGGCTTGGTCTCAGCGGACGCGTCAGCACTCATGGTCTCTCGGGTCTGCGCGCAGGGGCGGCCGACGGCTCAGCCTGCAGCGGAGCTCGCCGGCGTGGGCTGGAGACTGGGTGTCTGGGATCTGCCGCGAGTGGTGCAGGGGGCAGCGTCTCTCGATTGGCGAGGAGCGAGGCAGGAGGCGGGCGGCGGCAACAGAGGCGTCTGGCGCCTGCCTGGAGTGTTTAGCCACAAGCAAAAAGAATCGCTCGGCGGCTTGGACACCATCACCAAGCCGAGTTGCGCTTGCGGCCTTCCCGCTTCCCCGTTCCACGCCGCGACTCCCGTTCGCTCTCTCCATGTTTCCCTCCCTCGGGTTGTCAGAAATAGCTTGCTTGCTTTCTGGGCGCGTTCTAGCTTTTGGATTCTGCGGTATCATGCCGTTGGGCGGTGTCGGGCTCTCGACAACAGAAAATCAAAATAGGGGGTTGCTTAAAACGTTAGGAGCTGCGAACAGTGTTGCTAGTGTTAAGCTGTTAACAGTAACAACAGAACAACAGTGGGGCTCCCCAACAACAGTAGCTAACGTTAGGCCGACTGAACAACAGTAAGGAAGGCCTGGCAGTGACCCACGACGATCTCTAGCGTCCAGTGCGGGTAATACCCGAAAATACCCGGTATCCCAGGTATTTTCGGGGTTTACCCGTTTTTTTTGCCATTTTCTGCTTGCTGGCCGCTGAACAACAGTAACAAACAGTAACAGCATGGGCTGGGATGAACACTTGAACAACGTTGAGGATTTCAGCCAACAATAGCGCAACTGTTAGGCCCCAAATTAACGTTAGGCAACCCCAAATGTAAATGATCCTAGAAATGATCTTATGAATCATGGATCTTTTACTTATAGTTACTTTATACAAAGAACCCTGCACAAAGATCGCACGGGCGGGGACCTGTTCCTTTCTACCCATCTCACAGTAGAGGTGTCCGTTTTTATTTAAATTATATTTATCATGGATCTTATATCCGAAAATCCGATAGCGTCGATCTCGGACCGAGGCAGTGGCACCCTTCACCGACTCGCAGCTCGCACTCCGGTCGGCGGTCGGTCCGCGACGCGCGAGACCCGAGACTTGTGTGTTGTGATGACTCGAGAGAGGGAACAGGCGACAGGGCACAGGGGTCGGTAGATACCGGATAGTATCCCGGCGCCGGGCGATAGAGTTTATAGCGGAGAGGGGGACCTTTTATTAGTGCTTGCGAGACCGTTAGAGACTTAGAGCGCGCGATTCGTACCCGGTTAAGCCCATGCCGTCACCGACTGCACAGCCCCCCCCCCCCCCCCCCCCCCCCCCACACACACACCGCGTGTGTGTCCAACTGTCCATCGCGAGCCCATACCACAAACGCAGCAGATGCGCTGAGCCCGAAAGCCCACGGCACGCAGCGGCCAAGAACCACTCTTGGCCGAGCAGAGCCGCACGCGTCCAGCGCCCCGCAAGCGGCGAGCCCGGCAGTCCGCGCCAACCCGCAGCGTGCATGCTCGCCCACCTGAGCCCCCTTTGCCCGCCCCCCAAAACATATGCGCAACGCACCGCGCTCAGCCCTGCAGCCCGCGCGCCTTTTTGTACTGCGCCACCTCCTCCTGCAGCAGTTGGTCGCGGCTCCAGTCGCCCGACGAGGCACGCCGGTGGCCTCGCCGGTTCTGGTCGGAGCGGCCGAAGATGGAGCCTACGGCGCAATGAGGGCCTGCTGGGAGGCACGCGCCCCTCTCCGCGGCAAACCGGGCCGGCGAGTTGGAGCGGACCGAGGTCGACGACGGTGGTCTGCTCGTGCAGCGCCGTCTCGAAGACGTTGTCGGGGTCCATCGTGTACTGCTCGATGAGCGCCTGCTCGCGAGAGTGGGTCCGTGACTCGGGGCTGGGCGTCGGGGCCGCAGCGCGCCGCGTGCAGCCACCGGCTGGAGCTGCGACGACTGCGCCCAGTTGGGGATCAGCTGCTTCTTGGCCTGCGGTCGGCGGCCGGGAGGAGTGAGCCGGGCGCCGGGAATGGTGGGCCGGCAGCGCGGGGCTGGGAGCGGGCTGCTCCCACCGGCGCGTCCTCCTCCTCGGACTCGGACTCGTCTCCGGACGAGGCGCGGTCCTCCGGGATGGAGTACTGCTTGGCTGCGTCGTCGGCGCCGGGGCGCGCCGCGCCGGGCCGCTCCCAAGTCGACTTTTTGGTCGCCGCGTGGTAGTAGTACGGACGCCCCTCGGGCGTCTTGTGCTCTGTCCAGCCCGCCGACAGCGGAGGCAGCGCCGGCTTGGCTGGCCCGGCCGCTGTCGGCCCCGCCGTGGCGGAGCTGGCGGGCCCAACCACGCCCTCGACCGCCACCGCTGGCTTGACCGCCGGCTTGGGCTTGGCCGCGGGCGCCGTCTGCGCCTGCTTGCGCGCGTCCGCCTTCCTCTTCTCCTCGAGCTCCTTCCTCTTGGCCTCGCGCCGCTCCTCGCCCTCCTTCTCATCCTACAGCGGACCACTCCGGCGGTGAGGGCGAGGCCCGTCCCTCCTCCGCCGCGGGCCGCGCGGCGGCACCTTGAGCCGCATCTTCTCGGCGAGCGCGCGCTGCCGCTCCTCCTCCTGCTTCTCGCGCCGCTTCCGCACCTCCTCCTGCTTTGCCTTTCGCTCGGCGGCCTCCTCCTCCTTCTTCTTTTGCGCCTGCGCCGGGCGGGGCGCGGGTCGGAAAGGGGAGCTGTGGGTGCGAGGGCGGACGTCCGTGGGGCGGGGCTGTGCGGCGCGCACCTTTGCGAATCGGTCCTCGGGCTTGAGCTTCGGGCCCGCCGCCGCTGCCTTGGAGGCTGCTGCCGCCTTCGGAGCGACCGAGGACTGCGACGCCGCCGCCGCCGCCCCGGCCGCCGCTGGTGCGGCGGCCACAACAGCGGCCGAAGCCGCCTCGGCGGAGGCCGCCTCGGCGGGCTCGCTCTCCGCGGCGGGCTCCTCCGCGGTGACGAACGGATTGGCCGCGGCGGAGGCCGCCTCCTCCGCCACCTCCTCTGCCGCCGCCTCCGCCTCCGCCTCCGCTGCCTCCTCCACCTCCGCCGCCGCCGGCGCCTCGGCGGGCAGCGCAGACGCGCTCGCGGGCGCCGCCTCGGCGGCCGCGTCATCGCCCGTATCGTCGGCGGAGGCCGGCGCGGCGTCCGCCGCTGGCTCCTCCGCCGCCGCCTCGCCTCCGCCCGCCGCCGGAGCGTCCGCCGTCGAGGACGCCTCCGAGGCGCGGCGGCTGGGCTTGCGCACGGAGCGAGCAACCTCGAGCTTCTTCTCGAGCTCGTCGCACACGGTGTAGCCCTCCTCGCCGGACCGCTGCTCCTCGCCGGGCCGCTGCTCCTCGCCGGCCCGCTGCTCGGAGGCGGAGGCCTCGCTGGCCGCCTCGCTGGCCGGCGCGCTCAGGAACGGCTTGGCCGCCCACTCCATCATCCGCTGCAGCCCGCCCTCCGGAGGCTCGTCGCCGGAGGCCGAGCCGTCCACTTGCATCGAGTCCGCCTCGTCCGCCGCGCGCGCCTCGGCCTCTTCGAAGCTGCCCACGTTCTCGAAGAGAGCGGTCGACTCGGCGTCGAGGGCAGCGCCGAAGAAGGCCGCCGGGTTGAGCTTGCCCGCGCCGCCCGCCTTGCGCGCCTCGTGGTGTTGCTGCAGCCGCTCAAGGAGGACCTGGGCGGCGGGGAGGGCGGGATAAGCCGCGAGAGAGTGCGCGCAAGAGGGTGGGGAGGGGAGGGAGGGGTAGGAGGAGCGCTCGCCCCCTTCTTGCCATCGCTCGCCAAGCCGAGCTTGGAGCACTCCTCGCGCAGCTCCGGCACCCGCAGCTTGACCAGCCGCTCGAGGGCAGCGTCCGGCCCCTCCTCCTCCTCCTCCTCCTTGCCCGCCGCCTCCGCGCCACCCTCGCGCGGACCCTCTTCGCCAGCCGCCGCGTCGCCAGCCGCCGCGTCGCCAGCCGCCGCGTCGCCCGACCCAGCAGCGGCCTCGCCCTCGCCCTCGCCCTCGCCCTCGCCCTTGGAGGCCTGGGGCGTGGAGGCGCGATGCGAAGGGCGCGCGGTCAGTCCGGTGGCGGTGGGTTGGCCAGAGGGCGATGCGGCGGGAGGGGCGGCGGGAGGGGCCGGGGCGGGCGGTAGGGGAGCGGGGAGGCGCGCACCGCTTGATGCCCGACCAGCCGCGCGACGAGGGCCGGCTTGAGGCCGTCGGTGGGGAGGCCGAGGCGCGTGCACTCGCTCCGGAGACTAGGCACCGTCAGCTTGGCGAACGTCGCCCGCGCCTCCTCCTCCACCTTCTTGAGGGCGGCCGAGGCGGCGCAGATCTCTGCGAGCTGGTCGCGGCTCGTCTCGGTGGTGGCCTGCTTGACCTCCTCCTCGTCCTCCCGCGCGCGCTTGCTGTCGCACTCATCGATCGAGCTCTCCGACTTGCGCTTGGAGCCGACGTTCTCGTCGCCTGCGCGCAGGGCGCCGCGCCGCGGTCTGTCAACAGCCCGCCCGGAATCAAAGGGCGGCGCGGCGGCGGCGCACCGGCTGGCGCCGAGTTGGCGCTGCGCATGCCGAGCGCTCGCTTGGAGCCCTTGCCGGTGTCCGAGGCGACGACATTCTCCTTGTCCTCCGCCCCCTCCTGCGCGGCGCAGGTGCGCGGGGCTCACCCGCACAGCCCCGCTGCCTCGCCTCTCGCCTCGGGCGCAGCGCGGCGCACCTTGACGGCAGCCAGCGGGCGGCGGCGCCCGCGCGGCGCGGGGCGGCGGTGCGAGCGCGGGCACTCGAGGCTCGGCGTCCTGCGACACATACGCGCAAGGGTCCGGCTGAGCGACTCCTGCCCTCCAAGCACTCGGCGGGCGGCGGCGCGCACGTCTGGTACGCCAGCCGCTTCTTGTTGGTGACGACCGTCTCCTCCAGCCACGACTGATGATCCAGCGCGAGCGCGCCGCACTGTTCGCGGTAATCCGCGAGGCGCTCGTCGAGCGCCGCGATGTGCTTCGCCAGGTACGACATGGTCTGGCGTGCACTTGAACGAGGACCACGGAAGAAGAATTTTTGCCCGCTCACCGCCAAGGTATCTCCGGTGGATGTTTTCTTTCTTTCTTTCTTTTTCTCCTGTGGACCCGCGTCCACCCATACGCCATACCGCGCTGGTGTCCAGTCCGAGCCAGACTGTTCTTAACCTTCCTACCTACATACACACAGGGTGGGCGACGGCTAGCACCACACGCCTCTCCTTGAAATCCCTGTGTGGTGGCGGCGTGCAGCCGTCCTCCCATCCCTCCTTTGGGGGGTTTCTTTCTCTGGGCCTCCCTTTGCGGATTATTTCTTTCTTTCTTTCTTTGTATTGTTAGAATTCTTTCTGGGTACTGGGTCGAATTTGCACGCCTCTCTCACAATAATCAATATCGCGAGCGAGTGACGGATAAAGTCGTGTGAAAGAGCTGTGAAAGCGAAAGTATCGAAATTAATTGCCCGCCGCAGGCGAAGAAAATTTTCAGGGTTTTTTGGTCCCCTACGCCGAAGAAGTCGAAGATTTCGGCGGGCGCCCGACGCGGTATGGATGGAGCACGCGCGCTGCCCGGCATGCCTGCAGCATCCAAACGAGACGCACGGCGTCGCTCAGCCGTGTCCACGCGGCTTCGCTCCTGTCCTAACCGGCGCCATCTGGGCGGCTGCTGCGGAGCTGCTGCCGGCGGTGCGGCAACTGGCCGACAGATACAACGCTCAGGGCACCCGCCGGCGATTCACTGGAAAGGAACGAAGGCGCCGCTGTCGGCGATTCACCGCCGTTCGTTCCCGTCTCTCAAGCTGGCTACACCGTCCATGGACGAGGGAGACGTCGCCTCCTCTTTCGTCCCGGGCACTGTTCGCGCCGGTAGGCACTGTACACTGCGAAGTACATTAGCCTTCATCCCTCCTACCGCCGGCCGGGAGTGCAGCCTTCGCCATCGCTGAGTGAGATTATCCTCGACTTTGGCACCTGCGAAGTAATGAACAACATGCAGTACGTCATATGCAATGGCGCTATGACAGCCCTGCGATGGGCGTCCTCGACGCAGACGAGGCGGAGCTCATCTGCACGGCGCAGATCGCCGACTTTCTCTCTCTCTCCCTGCGCGAGTGGTTGCGCCACCGTGGATGAGGCATATGGGCTGGGCAGGGGAGTTGGTAGAGGAGGTCGACTGAGGGCGCGAGGCCGCCAATCGTCACAGTCTGCTGCTGACTGTCGGTCGCTGACTGGTTGCGCATTGCGCTGGCCGCGCAGCGGCCTTTAGAAAATTTTGGCCGCAGGCCTAGGTTTTGAAAGATCAAGAGAATAAGCGCCGGTGAGGCTTTGAGAAGCTGTCGTTTGCGGCTTCCTAAGTCAACTTTGGCTGCGGCTCAGGTCAGAGGGCCCAGCGACTCGTCGGTTGGGTGTAAACGGGCATTGCCTGTGGTCTTCAACGCACAAAGGGTGTGAATAGAGCTCTCTTGATCCTTCTGAGCACGAAGACCACTCGAACTCTTCTGCAGACTTTAGTTTTCCCGGTGTTCATAAGCTGTGAATAGTTTATGCGCCCGCCGCAGCCCGCCCTATTCACCACGGGCCACGAGAGCCCTGCAAGCAGCTGGCATGTTCTATCGCCCGGGTGGCGGGCTGTCTGCACACAGACGTCTCGTCCCATGGCTGACGCACGGATGGTCCGACCTGTGGCGGAGTTTGACCTCAGCTCGGCCGTCGGTGTCGGCGGGCTGACGGCGGCCGCCGGAATCGCGATTCGCTCTGCCAGCTGCCAGCAGCCTCGTGTCGCCGCTCTCGTTGCGCAGCAGCAGCGATTGGCCTTTGCGCCGTCGCTCGACGGCGTCACCGCCCATCCGACCTGCGAGTCTTCTGCTCTCACGCACCTCACTCGCCGCGCGCGGATTGTGCGCCGCGCCAAGCAAGACACATGCTCATGCAAACAGTGCGAGAACTTGGTTGCGCCGCTTAGTGGCGGCGCTGCTTTAGAGGAAGCGGCAGCGTGGGAAGCAAAGCAGATGGAGAATGCGCGGCATGCCAAGGAGCCGCTGCCGGCGGAGGTTGAGCGGCTAAGTGCAGCAAGGGCCAAGGGCAAGAAGGGCAAGAAGAAGAAGAAGAATGTGGGCGTGGGCGATACGGGCGCCGCTGGGCTCAACGAGGAGATGCTGTCCTGCAGTTAGAGAGCTCGTAGCGAGCTCGATTTTGATGAGAATTTGATGTGAGAAATATCTCAATTTTGAGCAAAAACGCCAAAAAATCGGCGCCTGCGGCGGGCCGGGGCCTCCGGCGGCGCCTGCGGCGCCGGGCCGCTGGGGCATCCGCCCCAGACCCCGTTTACACCCGAGCTATGCCCCGCGACCTGAGCCGGAGCCGAGAATTTGATGTGAGAAATATCTCAATTTTGAGCAAAAACGCCAAAAAATCGGCGCCTGCGGCGGGCCGGGGCCTCCGGCGGCGCCTGCGGCGGGCCGCTGGGGCATCCGCCCCAGACCCCGTTTACACCCGAGCTATGCCCCGCGACCTGAGCCGGAGCCTTTTCGAGAGGAACGTTTTGGCTAAGCTAGAACTTCTCCAAAATCGCGCGATCATCGAGTTTTGAGTCAATAATTATGAAAGGAGAGGGAGAGGGAGAGTTCTAGCTTAGCCAATCGATTCAGCGTGCTCTGAAACGCCCAAAACCGTCGAGTTTTTCGCCGTGGTCCAAATAGAGAGCTTATATTTTGATTTTCTTGGCCACGGCCACGATTACCCGTCACTCGCTCTCGCTCAACTGACAACTCACATCGAAGTGGGGAAAAAAGGCCGCCTGCCGCTAGAGAGGAACATACACATATTGGGGGGGCTCGGCTCGCTCAACTCAAATCGAAGTGAATAAAAAGGCGACGCGGCCGTAGAGGCGTGTAGACCTCGCCCCCACCAGCCACCTCACCTGCGCTGTCACCTCACTACAGCTACTCGCTCTCTCTACTCAACTCTCAAATTCTACTTCGCTCTCTCCCTCTCCCTCTCCCTCTCTCGCTCGCTCGCTCTCTCATGTGCCTCGGAGGCTGGCGCTCAACTCAAATCGCCTCGAAAAAAGAATTGTCCGATCGAGGAATTTATGTATGTAAAAAGTTTGAATGCAGAAGATTTTGGGGGGGTGGGGTACGAGTTAGTGGAACGAGTTGGAGGCGAGATGCGTGTAGCGTGACGCTACCAATTTTCCCCGCAGGCAAAAGAGTCCTATGCCCCTGATCGTCCTTCCAAAATCCTGCTCGTGGTCGTGCAGGTGTGGGGGCCGGGCCCTGTTCCGTGTTCGTCCTCCCACATCCCTCGTTTGGGGTGTGGAGTCTGTTTAGTGTTTTCTTTCTTTCTTTCTTAGGCAAAAAAAGAATGGTGATAGAATGTGGGTATTCGCCCAGAGTGGCCGCCTCCCGCCAGTGCGGTGCGACCGGTGTCCTGCGAAGTGCGAAGAAATAGATTGCGAGTCTCGTCTATTCGACTCGGGTCTCGGCCCTTTCTCCCCTCACCATAAGCGCCCCCCCCCCCCCCCCACCCCACAGCCAGTGACCCACCTCTGTACTCGCCGCGAACGTACCAGAGCCGCCAGCCCCACCCACGTAACATGGTACCAATTAGCAATGGCGGTGGCGCCGTGCAGACCTCGGCCCCGCGCGAGAGCTACCGCACGCGCCTACGCGGCGGCCCTCAGACCTTCGAACCCCCGCGAGCCCCCGCCGAGCCATCGTCGTCGCTGGCGCTGCTGCTCGGCTCCTCGAGCCGGTCGAGCTCCTGGGCGGGCTCAATGTGCTCCCGCCCCTCGGCGACGGGCGCGCCCGAGCAGCGCCACCCCACCGCGCGGCGGGCGGCGGGCTCGCTCCGCCACCCGCGCCTCGTGCCGCCCAGCAGCTCGGCCGGCGGCTCGGCCACCGCCTCGACCTCGTCGACGGAGCGCGAGTACCTTGCGCCGCTGCCGCAGCAGCTCGGCCTCCGGTACCTGTCGCCGCCGCCGCTGGAGAGGCCTCCAGAAGCGGTGGTGGCGCCGGAGGCGCCGCGGGCGTACCGCGTGGTGGTGCCGCTGCTGGCGGGGGTCGTACTCCCGGAACTGGAAACCCTGGTCCAGAGGGTGCTGGCCTTCCGGCGCAGGGCGAGGCCGGAGCTGTGGCCGGCCGGGTCGAGCGTGTGCCGGTTGTCGGAGAGCTGGCGGCGGAGGCGCGAGCTGGCGCGGGCGACGAGGGCCGCCACCTGCTCCCGGATGGCATCCTCGCTCGAGCTGTTGAGGTTGCACGGCATCGCGATCTGGCGGAAGAGGCACTGCCACGCGCCCGACACCTCCTCCGTCGAGAGGGGCTCCTCGTCCCCCGAGGCGCGCTCCTGCGCGGCGGCGGCGCCGGACCACGTCCACCCCTCGGGCATGCAGGCGTCGAGCGCCTCCTCGGCAACCCCGCGCGTCGCGCCGAGCGGCACGCCCTCCACGGCGAGCTGCCTGAGGAAGGCGGCCGACGGGAAGGCGAAGTCCTGCAGCGTGGTCACCGGCTGGAGGAGGGCGCCGCGCCGCGCCGCGAGCGCGAGGAAGGCGGCGAGCGGCGCGCTGCGGAAGACGCCCTCGGTGAGCACCACGTAGATGATGGACGACGGCTGCAGCGCCTCCACCGCCTCGAGCGGCAGCCGGCGCGACTCGACCACCGCGAGCGCCACCGGCTCCTGCGTCGAGCGCTGCAGCTCGAGCTTGAGGTAGACGGCCGCGCTCGCCGCCTCGATCCCGTCGCCGCCGCCCGCGACGACGATCGAGGCGCGGTCGGCCGACTTGGTCAGCTCGTCCGGCTTGAAGCGGCGCAGGTCGGCGAGCAGGTCGCGCGGGAGGAGTCCCGAGGACTGGCGAGGGGCGCCGGCGTCGCCGCCGCAGATGCGGCGCACCACCCGCTGGGTCGCGTCGGCGGCGCTCTCCGAGTAATCCTTCTCGAGGGCGAAGACGACGTGCTCCATCACCTCGGCCACGTCGTCGCGCGTGATGTCGTACGGCGCGAGCAGCTCGAGCGCCTCGTCCGAGAGCGCGTGGCTGCCCGCGTCGAGCGTGTCGAGCAGCCGCTGGCCCGACGGCAGCACGACCGGCACGATCGGCACGCCCGACTGATACGCCACCGCCAGCTCGCCGACGCACCACGGCCGCTGCGCCGTCTCGGCGCTGAGGATGACGACCACGCGGCGCGAGGAGCGGACGGCCTCGAAGAGCAGGTCGAGCGAGTTGAGGTTGTCGGCGTCGTAAAAGACGCGCGCGCGCGTGCCCTGCGAGAGGAAGAGCTTCATCAGCCGCGCCGTGTTGCCGGCGCCGCCCTTGTGGTGGCTGAGGAAGATGTCGAACGAGGTGGAAGACGAGAGCGACCGCCGCCACTGCACGACGGCGAAGAGCAGCCCGGCCGCCATCATGAGCGAGACGAGGAGCGTCGAGACGACGGACTGCGAGCGCGCCATGCCACAGGCGGTCGACGCGACGCCGTCCGCGGAGGTGCAGAGCGAGGTGCCCATGATGATCAGGAGGAGGAGGAGGGCGACGGTGAGGCCGCCGTCGAGCAGGTTGAGCGCGTCGACGCGCCAAGGCCGCAGCCGCAACTGCGCGACCAGAGAGGCGGAGAGCACGAAGACGAGCAGGGTGACCTGGACCTGCGGCTCGTCGTACGGCAGCAGCGTCGGGATGGCGGCGAGGAGCAGGTTGCGCAGCAGCCGCAGGGACTGGTAGTAGTAGACCTGCGCCCGCCAGCGGCCAAAGAGGAAGCGGAAGCGCTGCGCGAAGCGAGGGTCGCGGAGCAGTTTGCGCTTATACTGGAGCGAGACGAAAACGCAAAAGACGAGCGTGCCGATGGTGTAGAGGCCGATGAAGGCCGCGGCGACGCCCACCATCCGGCCGTGCTCCTCCCTCCAGCACTCGACGCCCTCGTACGAGGCGGAGAAGTAGACGCCGTCGTCCGCCTCGAAGCAGTTGAAGGCGGTGAAGGTGGCGAGCGCGATCGACGTGTAGAAGGTGAGCACGATGAGGCCCGAGGTGTTGAAGAGGCCGGTGAGCGAGTGCCGCTGCTCGGCCCGCCGTACCAGCGCCGCCGAGGAGCTGTCGCGCGGCTCGCTGCCGCCGCGCGCGTGCTTGCGCGGCCGCGCGTACCGGTCGGCGTAGAAGATGCCGACAAAGAGGGCGAGGAGGAAGGCGGGCGTGAGCAGCTTGATGAGCAGCTCGACGAGCGGGTCCTCTGAGACGAGGCAGCTCAGGTGGAGCAGCTCGAAGTTGAAGACCACCGTCTTGATGAACAGCATCATGTCGGAGAAGGGCGAGCCGAACTCCACCTTGAGCAGGAAGAGGCACGAGACGGCCTGCACAAACTCGCAGAGCAGCCCGAGCGCGCCGACGCAGCCGATCCGCGGAAGGCGCTCGGTGGCGGCCGCATGATTGCAGAGCCGATGCGTGGCGTACAGGGCGATGCACACGAGCAGGAGGGCGGCCACGAGCAGCCCGGCGTCGCGCGCCCTGTCGCACTCGCCGCAGCCGCCGTCGGAGAGCACGCGCTGGTCCGACGGGCACTTGTAGCAGAGCTCGCCGGTGCGCGGGGCGCGGCAGATCTCGCGGTCGCCCATGGCCGGGTCGCCTCCGATGCAGTCGGGGTGCTCGCGCTTCGAGTCGCACACGAGCGCCGAGAGGGGCTCGGACGCGCTCGCCCAGTAATTTGGCAGCAGCCACGGGCGCGACTGGAAGCGGGTCAGGTTGTTGAGAGTCGCCACCTGCTCGGCGGCGTCCTCGAGGTCGGACACGTAGCTCGACCAGTCGCAGTTGAGGCCCCGCGCGCACGCGACGCACGCGTCCTGCGACGCGGCGTCCGCCCTGCGGAAGCCGTCGCGGCAGGTGCAGCTCACGGCCGACTCTGCGCCGGTGCTGAAGGCCCAGGTGTGTTCCGTCGCGCAAGCCTGGGGGGGGCAGGGTGGAGGGGGAGGGCGTGTGCGCGAGAGGCGCGGGTCCGGACGACTCGGGAGGCCGCGGGCGCGAAGCTGCGGCGCGAGTGCTCCGAGCCGCGCGCCTTGCAGCTCTCGGCGCCCTCCTCGTCCTGGTACTTGCCGCTCGCGCACTCTTCGGGCGAGATGGAGCCTTTTGGGCAGGAGTGCCCAACCCGGCAGCGGGGAGGGCACGCGGACAGGTCCGCGCCGAAGGGGCAGCCGGTGCGCCGCGGGCAGTGGTGGCCGGCCGGGCAGTCGGTGCAGATGCTCACGGCCGAGGGGTAGTCTGCCGGCCGCGGGATGGTCTCGCGGTACTCGCGCTGCTCCGGGGAGGACTGGGCGAACGTGCCCGCCTTGCAGAACTCGCACGCCGCCGTCGCCTTGTCGTAGCCTTGCCCTTTGCTCGAGTCGCAAAAGCGGCCGCGGCTCGGCACGCGGCCTAACTCCTCGCCGTCGGAGAAGTGGCAGAATACGCCGGCGAAGTTGGTCATGCCGCAGCCCGTCGCGTCTTCGTCGTACAGCTTCGGCCCCTCGTTGGTCCCTTTGAGGATGCCACTGCACTCGGTCCGCGCGGTCGGCTTCGGGTGAGTCAAGCAGATGCCCATCCTTGACGCCGGGGCCTGCTCGCGGGGGCACTCGGGCTCCCTCTCGGCAACCACCCGCTCGGTGGAGTAGAGATGACAGTGCCCCTTCTTGACGCTCCCTGGCGCGGCGCCCTCGCCGTGCTCGTCGTAGTTGACGCCGACGCAGCGCTTGTCCACCTTGTGCGGGGGCGGGGCGGGGCGGGACGGTGGTGGGGCCAGCCCGTGAGGGGAGAAGGGGGGTGGGGGGGAGGGGGTGTGAGAGTGGGGTGGGGGGGGTGAGGGGGTGAGGGGGGTGTGGGGGGGGAGGGGGTGTGAGCCCCCCTCGCCTGGCCGGGCCCACCCCAGTCGACGTGCGAGCAAATGGTGAGGCAGATGTAGGTCATCTCCTCCTGCGTGCGGTTGCCGACGCAGCAGCCGCGCGGGGAGGAGGCGCAGCCCGGGTCGTCCACCTGCGGGAAGGGCGCGGCACACCTCACAGGAGAGGAGGGAAGGTCCATACCAT